CCCACCCTGTCCCTGGGCACTTCCAGGGTGGAACAACCACAACTTTGGCCAACCCATCCCAATGGGGACACCGTGATGCCACCAAGGCCACCAAGCCAAGCCCCCATCCTTGGATCAAGGCTGTCCGTTGGCCTCCATGGCCGTGGGAATGCTGACCTGGAAGCCCTGCACCAGGATCCGCACGGTGTCCCCCACGCGCGCCCTCGTCGGCGTCATCGTGATCTTCGGACCCTTGGGAGCAACTGCACGGAAAGGGAACAGGAGGAGCCGTCAGCGACATTCCCGTGCCAGGGCTGCCCTTGGAGGGGTTAACGAGGCTTTGATGGATGATCCCGGCGAGGGGTGGCAGCCCGGGGGGTGACAACTCTGTGATTGATGGCCGGGCTGAGTGACACCGGAATGACGGATGGACAGGCAGGGAAGGACCCCCAGGCGGGAGAACGGGAGAAGTGTGAGGCTGATGGATGGCTGGGGTGGGATGGATTGATGGGAGGGAGTTATTTCCCAACCAAACCCTTCTCCGCTCGGAAAAAAAGGCCAAGAAGGATCAGGTTGGTTTGAAGGCAGGGAGATGGACACCCCGGAGGAGCATTCCCAAAAAATGTGGCCTTGGTGAGTCTCACCCAGGTGCTGTTAGCACAGGAGACAACCTCAAAGCCTGGCTGGCAAAAAGTCCCGAGAACAGTGTGGAAAAATCTGGGAATCCCTTTTCCCATGCCAGACTAGGGATGCTCCTCCACTGGGATAGAGCGACACCACACAGGATCTGCTCCAGCTTCCACCTGGGGCTGTGTGGATGTCCCTGCTGGGCCACAAGTGGGATGGGACATCCCAGGAACTTCCTGGACTTTCATGGAAGGAGAAGGGGAAATGGGCAGGAGGAAGGATGTGTCACCTTTGTCCATCCAAGCTTTGTCATGGATGGGACAAAATGGACCTGGATGTGACCCCAGCAGGACACAGAGGAACAAAGAGCCACCAGAGAGCTGTGGTGGAGGACACTGGAAGCCCTTGGAATGCCATCCCTGCTCTGCCTGGACACCTTGAGACCATGGACGGCTCTTTCCATGTGGGATGTGACCCTCTGGAGCAGGACCAGGCAGGATGGGCTGAAGGTGATCCCACCACACCCTGATTGGGACCAAAAGGCAGCTTTTGGGTTGGTGTTGGGTTTAATGCAGCTTTTATTGGGAATTTCTTCTCTTATATTGGGAATCTGTATTTTACATACACCCATAGTGTGTATTTATACTATGGATGTAAGGAAAGGGTTAAGGGATGGTTCCCAAAAATTGGGAGTGGATGGACATCCAAGGAGCTGCAGGGACACCTCTGGGAATGAGGAGAGCCCTGGATTTGGGGACTGGGGACAATTTGGGCTGAGCTTTGCCAATCCAGGTCTTGGACTTCCTGGACAAGAGCAGCAAATTCACAAGGATCTAAATCCAAAGAGCTCCAGGAAGTGGGAAAATGCAGGATTTCCGTACGTTTTGGATGCTGGGGAAGAGATTTAATGCGAAGATGTCGGGAAGCCAAGGAGAAGCTCTCCAGGAGATGACGAGGAGCCAAGTGCTCCACGTGGCCTGGAGCAAAGCCCAGGCAGCTCCACCTGGCTGGAGGCTGGGAGAGCCTTTCCAGAGGAGTGTCCTGAGGCTGGAAAACCCCGTGGAGAGCTCAGCCTCTTCCAGTGGGAGCCAGGAGAGGGGAGGGGAGCCTCAGGCAGGGAGAGAGGAGGTGATGGACCCCTAGATCCCACGGTCACCTGAGGAGCTTCTGCTCTTCCAGGAGCCTGGGAATGTGGGGAGCCAAATTCCCTGGCTTCAATCCCATCAACCTGTCACAGCTCCATGGGCAGGAGCCAGCTCGGGAATTCCCTCCCTGGCAATTCCCACTGGGATGAGCTTTGTGGCAGCCAATAAGGGTCATGGGATGTTCTTGGATCTTCTGAAGATGGAGGTGACAGCTCCATCCACAGCTCCAACACCTCTTCCTGCTCATCATGACACAGATTCCCCAAAAAGCCTTTTTTATCCCAGAAAATTCCACCCCAAACACTGCCCATGGATGGAGTACCATAAACACCTGGAAAATCTCTTCTCCTGCCTGATGGACATCCCAGATTCCCTCCTTTCATTGCAAGAATTGTGGAGCCTTGGCATCACCACCTCTATCCCAATGCAG